ATCCTAACTTATATTAATAATTGTTGATTTGTCTTTATAGGTCCAGACTTAATATTTCTAATAATACTTTCTATAGAATATCCAAATAAAACAGTTTTCTGAATTTTCAAATAAAATTAATAATTTCCAGTTGTATTTATTTTATGAATTGAATATCTGTGGTCCAAATGATTTTTAAATAAATCCAATTTTGTTGAGCAGAATATAGCCTGAACAATGATAACTGACTATGAAGTTTAAACGCCAACAGTGTGACTTACTCAGAGCAGGTCTGGACCTGGATACCATATTGATCGTGCACTAAGGTCAGAGGTTAAGCAGCGAGTGAATATCCTACGGTCTAATAGATTGTTCGACCAGGAGCAATAAGAATCTTGTTCAAAATTTCTGGAATTGATTTTTAAGCACTGTATCTTCAGGCACTTAATACATTTCTACTCCAACAATACAGTGTCCATCATCACATGACTATTTGATCCATCCTTTATAATGGTAGATAACATTACCCAGCTCAAAGAGATATTGAAAAAGAATTTCAAATCTATGTCCAGTACATGGTGTTTTACCAGTTTGATATCTAGTCAAATACCTCCCGATAGATTCTTATTACTCCTTAGACAACTTACAGCAGCAGAGCACAAAATCATTCAAAATGAATAGCGAACTGTTTTACAGTTTCTCATTGCAAAACGGTCTCACACAAAGCATTTCAAGCATTGGTGAAGTACATATCTTCGAAAAGGCCTGGCTGACAAAAATATCTTGAAAAAGAACATTTTATGTTCGTTTAAAAAGGTGACTGGCGTCAAAAATAAACAAATTCATTGTATATAACAATCACTCAACAAAGATGGATCCTGTGTTTTAACACCAATCCACCAATTTTTCAATTTTCAATTATTTCAAAAACAATAGATATTAACAGTATTGACTACAACACAAAATTTAAAAAAAAACCTGCCCACTCCAATTTGACTACTACTAATAAATCTAATTACAATATTACTGATGGTCTTATAGAGTTATTTACTTCAACTACAGGCTTGATAAACATTTCTCAATACTATTTAACACAATTACACTTTTCAAAAGCCAACTGTATGTTTAACCACTTGGAAGCATTTTTTCTTCTGTACCATGAATCTCACAAGAAGCTCACCATGCAAATACAGATCACCCTATTTAAGTTCCCTATGCATTTTTGACCTGCAACCAAGTGGTTATCTCAAGATATCAGTTGTCTAATGGATGTTATTAAGACTCAGCGATATCTATTTCAATTGCTAAACAGCCTGTTTGATCAATCTACAAAAATTTACAAAACATTGTTCTTTTTTTTTGTGTTGTAGCTATTCAAAATGTTCATTCAAAACAATGCCCTGCACCCATCTTACAGCACCAATTTTTAAAATATCAGGGACCGCAGTTTGAAAAAAGGGCTATAATTGAAGCGTGTCCTTTGAGGACCATTTGCAAACTACAAACATATAACAATCATAACTCTGATGACCAAATTTGTGATTTGCTAAGCTGGAGATAAGTCATTGTCCTTTTGGCAGGATATTTGTCAACTGATGTTTTAAAATAATCAAATGTTTTTAACATTGATGTATTTGTGACCATTTGATATTTTAATTTTGTCAAAATGCAAGCAATAAAAACAGAAGCAGGTTTGAAGCAGCATTGCCAGATTATCTTCTGAAACATTATATTTAATACATGTATTGTAATATAGGATCTGGCAACACTACTTAAGTCAATTAATAAAAGCTAGGCTAAAAAAAATTAAGCTATCACAAGTTTTTTGTGTATTTTTGACTAATCTCCAAGTTAGCAACCAGAAATTTGTCCATTTCATACAAGTAATATTCAATGAAGGATGGGGCAGATGATAATATATATATATATATAACATGAAAGTTTATACTTAATGTGTTACATTGATAATAACATACAATTTGTGATATACCATTCCAGAACAGCATTCAATTTGTGATATACCATTCCAGAACAGCATTCAATTTGTGATATACCATTCCAGAACAGCATTCAATTTGTGATATACCATCCCAGAACAGCATTCAATTTGTGATATACCATTCCAGAACAGCATTCAATTTGTGATATACCATCCTAGAACAGCATTCAATTTGTGATATACCATTCCAGAACAGCATTCAATTTGTGATATACCATTCCAGAACAGCATTCAATTTGTGATATACCATCCCAGAACATTCAATTTGTGACATACCATTCTATTACAGCATACAAATTGTGATATACCATTCTGGTATATACTCAGAAATCACATGACACATTTTACAAAGTCTAAAAACATGAGAATACATGGCTATTTATAGAAATATACATACAATCCTTATGGGGCAATGGAGGGACAAATAAAATAAAAAGAACACTTTTCAAATTTGAAAGAGTTGAAGGTTTATAGATTACTTGGAATTGTTTTCCAGAAACCATATTTAGAATACAATCTTGAAAGGTCTAACGTGAAATCCCAAATTGGATTGTATATATATTTTGGTATCACTAAAACTGGTGTAGTTTTTGTCAATAGTATCAACTTAAAAAATATTAACAAAATTTCAATATTCAAAACAATTTCAAACTACAATAAACCAATAAAAAACAATAATTTGTATGAGCCTAAAACTTTCATTAAAATTTCAATTGTCTAAAAGTGAATCAGAATTTTAATTCATTAACAAATTTTTACAATGAAAAAAATCTAAAATTACAAGAAAGAACATGATAAGAATAAAAACAATCAGCAGTTTCTAAAAATTGTGTCGATCTGGACAAATTCCTAAGAATGTGAATAAATGATATGGTAATTATTCATATTGAGTTTGATATTTATTTCCTCGATGACTAAACGGTATTAAGTAGGGTTTTAGGTTATCATATTTTGGTTATATTATTAATATATCATACTATAGTATGAACAGTAGAATATTGGTTTGTATCTTTTAGACTTAAAGAAAAAATATTTAAAAAATAACATAAACCATAATATACAAAGTTTGAACACAAATCTTATATAATAAATGAGACAAATTTTACAAATTTCCTTTAAAAATGAGACTTTATGATGAAATTACTATTGTATTTTTTTGAATTTTTATTCATTTTTCTAAAAGATTTAAAATCAAATTTATGACATTAAAGCTTTTTATATGGAAATAATTTGGAAAAAATTTTTGTAACTGTTAAAAATCTAAAATTGTAATTTTTCTATGAAAGTAACATAGCATACTAATAATGAACACTAAAAATTAAGTTGTTTCACAAGAAATATTGAACTATCATGTAAAGTCACTCATTTTGAAGATTCAGATTGAAAATTCAAATTCGTTTTAAAAAAATTGACCAAGATTTATATTCCAATATTACAAAACCAATTTCACATCTACCATAAAGACAACTCTCAATATAAACATAACTCTCAAATTCTAAATAAAAATGGCTATGACACTTTGAATTAAAAAACAAATGACACTTTTACATGGCACAAACTAACCATTGTCATCAGAAAAATCAAAATGATTTACATTTCCCTTGGAAGGACACTAAGAATAACAAACCTTAACAATTTTGGCTGTATATGCACCAAGACAATGCCAATAAATACATTTCTTTAAAAAGGAATTTCTATATAAAACTCTTTAAGTCTAAAATAAATTGTGTGTAGACTTTAAACAAGATGATAGCACTAATAATTTGGTAAACAATAATGTATAATAATAATAATAATAATAATATAAATATTGAATAAAAAGAACAGTAACATAACAGAGAATCCAAGGGAAATGTATACAGTGTTGTAAATAATAATCAATTTTATATTTATATCTAACAAACGTCTATATATATTATACTAGTACCTTTAACCACTATATCTTGAACTTTCCTTTTCTATGGTACTTAGATATAATTGTGAACTTGATTATGGAACTTGAATATTTTCAAACTTCCTCAAATATCTTTGTACCCACAAAATTTCATTTTCTTCGGTACTTAGATATATATTGAACTTGTCCATCAAACTTTGATCGATACTTTTATCTTCAAAATGATCATTTTTTATGGTACTTAAATATATCAAGAAGTTATCTATGGAACTTAAATTTTCCAAATAGGTTTTGAACAATTTTCACTGATGAAGTGAAATTTTATCTTCATTTGACTTTGAAGACTAAGAAATAAAGTGTACAGTACTATTCTATATAGGGTTAATAATAATATATGGCACATGGAAATTTTTTCTTAAAAAATCACCTTTAATTAGATACAAAAAATGAAGAAATAATCATCATATCTTTTTACAACATTGTCAAACAACTGTTTATATATAAATGGAACTTTTAATAAAAATGGATAATAAACTTATATATGTCATTAATCCATGATTTTGCAGTTTTTTTCTTAAAAAAACATACATTTATTAATGAGAAATATCTTGAAGCAAGGGACTCAATTAGCAAAAACATTCTGAACTTTGTTTTGATTTGAAAAGTTTTCATTATCAACTTGGAAATGCTCAAATATTTCAAATTGCCCTCCAAATTGATGATAAAGAAAGGAATCAAAACAAAGTTCATTCCTCGGCCTTTAAGCAATTGTCATATTAGGCATGGTTCAGTCATGGAAATTAGGCAAGCAAAACATTTTGTATGATAAGCGACCTATGAACTAGATTGATTCTTTTTTTAATTTCAAGCTTTGGTTTGTGCTGTGTGATATGATTTCAATTTTAGTATAACTAATAATAATAATAATAGTAATAATAATAATTATCTAGAAAAAATAAACATTTCTCATCACAGTTGAAATTATTTTGAAGTGACCATTTCATCCTTCTGTCTCACATTGTCGTAATCGCACCAACAAACGTCGAGCTTTCAGGAATGAATGGTGTGGGTGGCTTTATTTTTATCTTTGCCTTTTGACTTAGTTCTTAAGAGTTGTTTCCCTTGATGTTAAGTTGATGGTGGTAGTACAACAGGGATATGGTAATACTTGCACAGAGGGCGCTGACATTTTCCTCTGACTGAGTCACGACACACTGTAACTTTACCGTCCATTACTTCAACATGTTCTAGAAAGATGAACATTAACAATTATGGTACTTTGATGAGGAAAAAAAATACCAAACTACTAGAAACCTATTGCTGATATGTGGAGTTCACACCTTGTCAAGAGTAGCACTGTGTGTCCCAGAATGGTGAGTATGACGACCTGCCATTAGTTACTACATTTGCTTTATGGCACCTGTTGCACCAGATTATCTTGCAAGAGTTTCAAATATTTTTCAATTGCACACAGAATATGCTAAAAGATAGTCGATATCAAATAATAAAAAAACCAACATGTTGGTTTACAATCTAAAATGACACAGTACAAGGTAATTCCTGTTGTCCCAGAGAGTATACATATTCTAGCTATGAAGCTACTGCTTCAACATAAGAAAGAATTTGAGAAAATACCACTGGTATAAGGTGTAATTACGTTAAGTAATTAAATAATACATACCCTCTTGAACATGAACATACTTGCACTGAGGCCTGTCACATTGACCTGCCTTAAAATCTCTGCACACTGGGAGGGTGTCCAGCAACTGTAAAAAAATATAAATGTATCCTTTAATACGTGACTTCATTAAAACAGGTAATCTTCCACAGCTTCATTATGGTTCACAGACTTGCTTGTTTACATTATCCCCATTCCATATTATAGAATCACCTTTACAGAGACATGAAAAAACTATCAGTTTCATACTCTTGTTCTTTAATTGTGATAATTCTTTAAGATGGATTATAGATCATTCTTTTTGAGTGGAATAGAATTGTAAATATTGTGTGCAATTTATTTGTGTAAAATTCTAGTTGACTGGAATAGAATTGTAGATTTGTCGATTTGAATGAAACAGAATTGTAAATTATTCTACATGTGTGCAATGGAACTGTGGATTTATCTATTTGAGTGAAATACAATTGTAGATTTGTCTGTATGTGGGAAATACAATTGTAGATGTGTCTATTTGAATAAAATAAAATTAAAGATTTGTCTATTTGTGTAAAATACAATGTAGATTTGTCTATTTGTGTTAAATACAATTGTAGATTTGTCTATTTGTGTGAAATACAATAGTAGATTTGTCTACATGTGGGAAATACAATGTAGATTTGTCTATTTGTGTGAAATACAATTGTAGATTTTCTATTTTTGTGAAATACACTTGTAGATTTGTTTATTTGTGGGAAATGCAATTGCAGATTTGTCTATTTGTGTGAAATACAATTGTAGATTTGACTATTTGTGGGAAATACAATTGCAGATTTGTCTATTTGTGTGAAATACAATTGTAGATTTTCTATTTTTGTGAAATGCAATTGTAGATTTGTTTATTTGTGGGAAATGCAATTGTAGATTTGTCTATTTGTGTGAAATACAATTGTAGATTTGACTATTTGTGGGAAATACAATTGCAGATTTGTCTATTTGTGTGAAATAGACAAATCTATAATTCTAAATTGATTTCAAATGTTATATATGTCTTTCCAAAGATAGTCTATTGAAGTGGCTTCTAAATTACAGATCAGTCTAGTCATATGGACATTGAATTACAGATAGTTGTTTTTAATTTAAAGATTTGTCTGTTTGAGCAAAATTTAATTATAGATATGTCTATTTAACTGGATTTAAAATTATAAATCTGTCTATTCTAGTTGATTTTAAATTGCATATATGTCTCTTGAATGAAATATAATAACATAAATCTATCTGTTTAAGAGGATTTGAAATTACAGATGTGTCTATTTCAAGTAGATTTTAATAACAGAATTTTCTGTTCAAGTGGTCTTCAAATTACAGATTTGTTTATTTAAGAGGATTTAAAATTACAGATTTGTTTATTAATGAGGATTTCATTTTACAGATATTTAAGAGGAATTAAATTAAAGATGTGTCTATTGATGTTTTGTGAAACAACAGTACTTGCAGGTAATACAAGAAATATGTTTCTGATTTTGTGGAAATTGGTGGTAAAAGTTAGGAAGATATACCAATCATGAGTGGCAAGGGGTTAAAAAGGAATGAAATACAATCTTTATTGACTGGGTATATCAAGGCTCTTCAAAACAACATTCAACATTTCTATAAAAATACACAAGATAGAAGTTATTTTGTGAAAAAATAAAATTCATGCATTAAAATAAATAACTAAATAAAATAGAAATAGAAATAGAAGCATTAGCAACCCAGTAAAATCCAATAAAATAAAATACAAATATGAAATGAGGATCAAATTAAATTATTAAAAGCAACTGTTCACCATAAAAAGCTGAGGAATTAAAATTAAAAAATACAACAAATGAAATAAAAAAAATTAAATGCATACTGCTAAGGCATATTTTTTGCTGTTAGATTAAGCAAGCACTGCTCAAGGCCAGTTAGTAAGACAAAAATGCTGTTATTGTTTGTACATCAAGTTAAGGACATTCACTTCAGTTTTAGTATTTTGTTAAAAACAATCTGTTTTGTTTTTTTGAACTTTCTTGTTTGTTGTTTTAGAGTAAGAAAAGAGAAAAGAAACACTGAATTTTGGAAGATTTTAATTCAAATATTGTGACACAAATTTGAGTGGACCAATGACTTTAAAAATTTGAAACATGTTTTTGCCAAAAGGGTATTCATTGTTTCTTTTCGTGATCAACTCTACCTGTTTATTTTCATCAAAGTAATCGACACTAGTTGCGTTAGAAGGTATTGGGTAAGCGGGGGCCTTCACCAAAGTTTCAGCTGGTGCTACAACCAGCGGATCTGTCAATCAAAAGTAACCATAGTAACAAAATGCAAAATGTGCAGGTGAAGCAAACGCCATGCAGAAATGGCAACAAGCACACAGGTCAATTGTGAATTGCATGAAACAGATAGAACAAAATTATTTTGTTAAAAAGATGCAACATAAAATAAACAATATTGACAGTTTAATGTGTTTGCTTGCTAGATTCAAGATTTCAAACGTCTATTATCTTTCATCTCATGCCTAAAATAGTCCTGAGTTTAAATTTTAATATGAAAGGTCAAATATTTATTCTACAATGTATATTTCAAATTAAGCCAGAATTATTATTATTCATTATTTCAGAATATTTCTAAAATTTGCAAGCTAACACAATAAACTTTTATAAAAACAAAAATTAAATAAAGCAAATAATAAGATAACAGCACAACATGGAGAAGAAATGTCTATTCAATTTAATGAGAGTCATTACTACACAAACCCAACATTTTATTCTCTTTTCAGAATTTTGAAACAAACAAATTGAAATTTATTTATTTGTTTTGACTAGCAGAATAAAGACCTGCCTTATAGAATAATCATCAAAGAGAAACATTCTAAATCTATTTCAGATTCAGGCATTATAATTCCAACATTCAGGAGATACTTTGTGAAAAGAAATTCCCAAATCTTCAAATATATCAAGATTAGAAGTAAATGGTGATTAAACCCAACTTAAGAAATTCATGTCTTCTCCATTGTTTAAAGGAAGTGCTGTTCATCTTGGAAAAGTTCCAGAATAAGTTCCATGCCATTAATTAATAATAAAATTATTGAAAAGCACTTGCTGCAGAACTATTAATACAAATTTAATGGCTACACACAACATTCATTGAGGGGAAAATCTCGTTAAATTTTAATGTCTTCTTTAGGTAAAAACAAGTGATAGCATTATAAATACTGATTGCATAAAAGATGATCAGTTCCGGGAGAAGGCTGCTGAATTTTTTTTTCAATGATTTTGAGAAGTTTTAGTATTAAGATTGGAGAAGTTCATTTTTCTCCTATGTAAAACACTGGCCGAAGTCACAAATAAAGAGATTTGTTTTTAGTATAAGATTTTCACATCAACTTTTTTAATATAGCTGGAATGTGTCTATAATGTATGAGTTTTTAGAATGAAATTTCTATTTTTAGGCTTAAAATTCATCTTGCAAGTTTTATAATGCACCATTTGTTTAGTCTCCAAATAAACAACAGACATAAAAGTGATATAATTTCTACAAGTTTAAAAATAAAGGATGAGATTTGTAATAACATCAGATAAATAGGACTTGAGAAACATTGACTCCTTATTAGGCTCCAATGGTTATTTAAAATAAAATCAAGAATCAGAAAAAAATGTCAAAACATTAAACTTCTTTTTCTCTTTTAACTTTTTTTTATAAAGGCTCCATTGCATACAACTAGGAGTCAATCATAGGTCTATATTGGTCTTAGAAATTAGAACCTTGGAAGTTAATCAAGAACTAAATCAATTGTGTAATTAAAAGGCCTTAAAACTTCAGAGTCAAAGTTTCTCAATCAACATCTAAAATCAAACATTAGTATATCTACTCTACATAACAATACTATAGTAGTTAATATCTAAATCGTACTTACATGTCACTGGTATGAAGGGTTGCTGTTGTAACTGCATCATAGTAGCATGTTGATAGGCAGCACTCATACCCATGGAACTTGGTTGATAAACTGGAATGCCACTTTTACTGTCCGTGACAGCCATGCGCTTTATATGTGGGACCACGTTCGGAAATCCCTACAAATTAAAACAATAGCAAACTGTACCAAGTGTTAATTTTCTAAAGTTGAAAAATAGAAAGAGAAAGTTAAATTGATAGACTGTTTTTAATCTCAAAAGAAAAAGTTTAACATTCAGAGAAATTTTGGTTTCAAATGTTTCTGCTAGAGCCAAAAACTAAGAGTCAAATAGCCTATTGGAATCCAAGCACTGAATTGAGATCACTACTCTTTAGACCAGCTTTGAGATTTAAACTAGAAACTTTGATCAAGTGCCAAACTACTTGCATCGAAAATCATTTGAAATAAAGAGAAAAGAAATTAAAATCTTTACTTTGATAGTCTACTTAAATTGATTTTGCAGAATCACATGACAGTTAGGTGTTAACAATGAACCAAATTTTGTCCCAAATCACCAAGTATAAGAGGCCGATTTGACCAGAAACATCCAATATTAAAGCTGCCATGCAAGGCGTGAATTATATGATGCTGTGATTAAAAAGAAAACCAAATACTTTTTACCACAAGGGAAAGTAAATTAATAATTCTAACAAAAAAAGCAAGAGAAGGTAGCCAGGTCGTCATGTGACTGTGCAAATAATCGTATTTAAGCTTTCTACAGCTACATGCAAAGCATCATGGGAATAGTACCAGAACTAGATCATCTGCAGGGTCTCGAGGTCTCTTCTTGGCTGTGGTTAAGACCTCAACCACTTGTGGCTAATTAGTATGCGGAGCACATGATGGCAATTGCCGAAGATGGCGGCATTGGCAGGGTTGGCGGAACATGACAACGTAGAGCAAGCAGCAAGGCATGTTGGGTGATGAAAATAAAAAAAAGAAAGCACCATTGGTAAAAAAACAGTTCCATAACATGCATTGAAATCATAGTTGACATACCAGTATCGAATAAGGCAAAAAATACATTACCCACAACCAAAACAAAAACATTTAATGCACAATTAGTTACAAAGCTAAGTTAGTTGAATAAAATAAAATGTCTAAAATAATTAGATAAAATTGCATTGATAAATACAATATATATTGGCTGGTTAATATTGCGGCACAAAAAATAAAAAGAAAAGTTTCCAGAAAGAATCAAAGTTTACACTGAACTGTCAATCAAAGCTGTCAATATTGAGAGCTATGTTCTGATTGGCTATATTGGAGAAACAGAATGCCTATCAGCCTATCATAGTATAGATTAGCAAATCACAATAAGAAAAGCAGTACCTAAGGTCATGGATTTTAATTGGTTAAAATTATATCATTAATGTTAAAATCTCGATTAGTTAATTTACAAAATTTGGTACCCCATTTGGAACTTTTACTCAGAAAAAATATCACAAAGAGCGCCAACTTTCCACATAAATTCGGTCATCCCACTTCGATACTGGTGATGTCATTTAATATCCATAAATATACAACCACAATCTCAGTTCTCCTCAAAATTATAACTTTAGATTCGAAAAAAATAAAACATGCCAAAGGAAAGTAAATGTAGAGATTTTAGAATCTTCAAGGATGATTTGCATCAATTTGCATAACTTAAATGCTATAGAATATATTTAATGATGTTTTATATAATGTGATGACAAATGCCAAATGCATGTCATGCAAAATAAAATTTAGAAATATAAAGAAAGAAAAGTAAAGAAGAACTTAAGAATAGAATTTCCTCAATTTGAATTTGTTTTAAGATAGTTTTGTCAGAGAACTTAATTGTGATATGAACAATAAAATGATACAATTTCAAGAAAATTAATATTTGGATGTTTTGATTGTTTTACCCCATAATTGAATCAAGAAACTTTTTGAAATTTAAAAGAATGATGTTCGAAACCAGGAAATCTTGATTGAACTAAAGGGTGCATGACAAACAAAGCAAAATCAGCAAAAAATCTGTAATCAAGAAAAACTGATCAATGAATTTTGTACCAGAAATCACAAATATTCCATCTGAAACTGAAGGCATTATGAACACACATTATAAGTCTTGAAGATAGGGTCTTGATATTTCAACATCCACAGTAGTCTTGATCAGTGTAGGGAAAAGCATCAGGCCGAAATAGAGGGTTTATATATAAATACTAAAGCTTTTCCGTGTCCACGATAAAGTTTTAAATGTCTGTAACATTCTATTTTAAATAAATATATGTGTTTATCCTAGTAGATATCCTGATGTGTTATCAGCACCAGCAACAATCTGCTATTGGAGCACTGTTCAAGGTCCAAGATAGATCTGCTCTTGATTTCACTGCTGAAAGCACATGGTGTGGCCATGAAACAGGTACTTTTTTTTTTTGCTAAACATCATCATGAGCTACTCACTTAAACAAAACCTTCATAGCAATGTTTTAGATATACATGCACTTTTAAGTAGAAATCTTTTGAATTTAGATTCAGTTTAAGAAAATAAACCTCTAAATTTAATTTCTGTAAGATTTGAATAAAAAAAAGTTAAAATTTTAAAAAACAGGTTGTGTTTAAGAGATATTGAAATATCAAGACATTATTGAAGGTGGATTAAGAATTTGCCATTAAGCAAACACTTACCATTTGATATACTGAAACCCAGAGTTTATTGTTCCATGATCACTATCAGTTTTTTTTTTATCCCAATATTATATTATATAGTGGAATATCGAACAGTTTGATTTTATGGCCAAAAAGGTGTTGACGTCAACAACAAGAAAAGAACAGAGAAGGGACAGCTAATCTATTAAGAAGCTAAGCTCACTGAGATTAAGTCAGTTTTGATATGATGTGATTTGCAATATGTAGGCGTACAATATTGGATTTGTTTCCATGGTAACAAATTATATAATAAAATATTAAAGCAGACAAAATGTACAAGATAATATTATATAAAGTAGATACAAAAATCATGCTTGTATTTTTTATTGCAGGGTCCTAATCTTGTCCTGTGATAATGCAATATCATTGATTAGATACGGTCACCCCCTTGAAAAAACGCAACACCATGTGTTCACTGTCAAGATTAAACGTTTAGGTTCTCATGTACTCGTTCTTCGTGTAAATTTCAGGAAAAGGAAAAGGGTCAAGTGTAAAGGCTAAGGAAAGCTGAAGGTAAACTAAATTAAGGCAGAACTACGTTTGCAGAAGCTTATCTATGCTTTAGTGATTTGTTTTATCAGCAAAAGTAAGTGCAAGAAATTTGGAAATTAAAGCAGGCAAATATTTCTGACACCATATTGACTAACCTAGCGAAAAAAGGTGATGAGTTCATTCAAAAATTAAAGCAAAAGAAACCAACCAATGCTCAAGTGAGTGACTGGCATTTATAAGCTCCCTGACAAGGCTGAGGGTACAGTTAGAATTATAACTTATCATGTGCAATACTAAGACATCCATTCTAGGAAAACAGATTAAATTTCGAAACTAAAAAGTAAGGATAAAGTATTTTCTGCAAGGGGCAGTTAAGGCTGCTTCTAACAGGCGCAAGATAGGTGACCCATCTTTCAGGGACTAAGTTAAATTTTAAATAAATAATAAGGTTATATTGCTCAAAACTGGAAAATTCAAGATAAATCATGCCCCTAGAATTTCACGCAAAATGATTTAGTTTAGAAAACATTTCTATTCAAACAAATTCATGAGAAATTTGTTGTAGTTTATACAAAGTGTGTTAATCTAATTTCAAACGATCGATAGAATGATATTTTCCAGTTTTGAAAAACTAATTCAATTTCAAGCTAAAGGAAAGAAAACTAATTGCATTGTAATTAACTTAAGAACAACAGTTAGCAAGAAGTGATTGGAAGCAGAAAGGAACCCCTACCAGAGATGGGGTCTGCGTAGCGACTGCGTTAGCTCTTTGTTGTGCAGCCTTGATCTGACTCTGGAGGTGAGATGGAGGATGAAAATATCTACACGAATCCCGTATACACTTTCCCTTAACGAAATCCATACACACCGTTACATGGTTGTCTGCGCTCTCGATAGTGACATTATCAGGAGGGTGGGCATAGCGACATTCACTAGGCTGTCGCGTACATGTACCCCTTTGAAATTCACGACATACCTGCAAAGAAGGTAGAAAAGCAAGAAAAAGGTAGTGTTAGTAGCAAGCTAGTGAAGATGTGTTCACTGTTTTACTACTGAGCAAGAACTGAAGTTTGGTAAAGATTGAAAAGAGTTATCCTCCCAATTCAATAAAGCGGTAATAAATGAATAAATTGAAAAAGCCCAACCAAGGTGAGAAATATTCAGTTTTTCTAAAAAGTCTACAGAAAGAGTGATGGAAATTATAAAAAATGTGCTCAAATTTTAAATCAAGGACACAAAAACAGAAAATTAGGATGTGCAATGATTTTTGACGTCAACATAGCTTGTAGAGAGAAAAGTAAAGATAATTTTCTGTTCCTGAATCTTGACTGTTTTGGTTGTGAAAGCGATATATATAGCTAAGGACCCAACCCACAGATTTTCTCTTGAAATTGGAAGCTAAAGGACATGAGTCACATGACCTATGTCGAGCCATTACCACTACCTTTCTATTAAGCGATTAACAATAAAAAATATCTATGAAGCAGTACTTATAGCAGAAACATGGCCCCAATGCTAGAATTCACTCGTGTGAAGGCTTAGACATTGAAAAAAAGGAAAATAGAAGCCCATTGTGTGAGAAATAGTATAAAGAATCCATCCACATACACTCAGGCTGTACAAGATAGTCGACTCATACAATCTTATATTGTTCATAGCATTTAAAAAAAAATGAAAATGGCGTAAAATACGCATCAAAATACTTGCATACCTCAAGTCTATCAGGACGTGCCACCTTTTGTTGCGTTGGTTGAAGTTGGGTACAGGTTGGTATAACTCCTCCGGGAATCTGTTGTGAAATATACGAACTTCCATCATTCACTCCACTGGGGACGGTCAGGCTGTTAGGAACTGAAGCGTTCATGTAAGGATTAAAACTCACAGCAGAAGGAATGGTGCTCATATATGGTGGGGCCTGCTTTGAAAAGAAAAAGTATTCATTAGAATTGTTGTTATATGACAAAAAACACAAGGTAATATATTATGGTATAACAAAGCACATAAAATTTTAACACAATTTACACCTGTTATTATCAGATGAAAGTGTATTGTTATTGAACTGACATTAAGTTTACTTGTGCTCAGAAACATTTAGAAACCTTTCAAAAGAGCGGGACGATGATCTGTGTGTCCACAGTCTATACATGCTAGATGAAAACACTTTCTAGATTGCAGAACACATATAAATGCTACAAATAAACAGCCAAACAAGGGTCTCATTCCACTGTTAAATCTCACAATAAATTTTGTCATAAAGTGTGGTATTTCTGAATGTAAAGTTTCAGACTATGTCAAATTCTTCTCGTAAGATTTTTTTGTGAAATGAGGCCATGATTACTGACATCAGGCTTCAACAAACAACAAAATTCAGTTATTGTTACTTTCTATTTATTGTCCCTTTGAACAGATTAAAGTTTTTTGGAATTAAGAGAGAATTTCCTGCAAGAAAGAAGAGTCATTCTGATGCATATTAAAATATACCACAATCATAACCATTGTAAAATAAAGCATATTTAAACAAGATAAAAAAGCAAAAAAAATAACATTTAAATCTCTCTATCTCACAACAACACATTCCATAGTATTATATAAAACATGACAGTCAGTGTGAACCCTAATCAGCACCTAGTTAAGTTTTAAATGCACTTTAAAGTTGAGTTGTAAGAAGGGTTTTGAAGGTAAGTGTTGGCTGTTGGCTTTAAGTTCTATCCTTGCCACAGTTTTATCTTAGAAAAATTCATTGACGGCCTTGAAAATTTCCCTTACCAATATAAAACATCTTTTGTGCCGAAATATTCTTGATACATGGTATGTTACCACTGAAGTAAACAGGAACCAAAGAAAATTTGCTGATTAATGTGCTATGGAGAGATTTAGATGAATCAAGCTAAAGGCGATAGAAAATAGAGCAAAGCTTTGGAATTAACAAATACCACTAACCAGAAATTGGTATTGGCCCGGCATAACTGATTGGATGGATTGGTATGCGGCATGGGGGGCAGCAGTCTTACCACTAGCCTTTAGGGTCAAAAATAAAATAACATGCGTACGATTAGTAATAAACTTGGTGCTACACAAAAACTAGCATTGATTCTCTTGGATTCTCTCTGTATATTGGTGTAGGTAATTTAAGCCTACTCCATTATCTAAACAATATTGGTAATAAAAAGTTTGAATGGTTATTACTGGTCAATTGACATGCAGACAGATTCATCAGCCTGGCTCTAACGTTAGAATAATTTCTATTTCACAACTAGTGAATCATTGGTTAGTGGATGAGTAGGGGAAATAGAATTGCAATGATGCCCCCTTACACCATACACCAAGACATGGCTCCAAACAAGCTGTCTTAATAAGCTATTTAAGACTTGATCTTCCAATGGAAATGATTTGCATTTGGCTGTCAGAAACCTAATACATTCTTATTTTCTGCCGTGGCATCAAAAAAAGTCAATTTGATGAGAAACATGAAGAGAATCCAACAGAATCAATCATTTTAAATGACAAAATCTAATTTATCTTATAATGACTTTCCTAACTATTTGATGAAATACTTTCTGTATGTGAATATATCATCTTAAATACATTCATAGATCTTGTTGCTCCTTTCTCAACAATGGTCTGCTCCCAAAATGTATTTTATTTAATGTAGTTCAAAGATGCAATAAGGCTTTGAATCCCATTTCAAGGATTAAAAATCAATGCATCCATGATTGGTGCTTTTTCAATGTGCCTGCAAACAGCACTTACATTTTTTCAAGAATTTGGAGTTCAAACCAGCAAAAACCAAAGTGAAAACGAAAGAGAACTCCTAATAAAATCAATTTTCAAATTGTTGGAGATAGAAAATTAATGTAATTTGTCATTTTAATTTTCTATATGAAATGAAACTAAGCTTTAGGGGATAAGATAACAATTTCATTACATGTTACGCAGGAAAGTGTTTTATCAAATCATCCAGACAGCGTTTCATTGTATTTCAATTTCTCACAGTACATCAAAAATCAGTCTATTTAACCGTGAAATCAGAATGCGATATTACTTGTTATAAAAATAATAAGAATCTTTCAGCGTATTTGACAAAGTGTCAACTTGTTAGTTTGACATGAATTAGAACTCCGTCAAAACACTTCAATATCCAACCATATCATTAGATTTTGTCATTTCTCCATTTATTTGATTGTTAAGCATAAATATATTTGTAAGAATCAATGTTCCAAACTGGCATATTCTATAGATGTCTTTCAATTCTCTGAGTATTATTACTGGCTTTCCATCAATATAACTGAATAAGCTCACTTCAGTTTCTCAAAATACCTTATGATCAATTTTTGTCTTAAGTGTGCTATTTCTCTTTGTGAAATTCCACATTTATGACAAATGTTTATCATAAGATTTGTTTTCTTTAAATAAGTGATAACATAATTTGTTCAGATATTGTGTAGTAGAAAAATGGAGAAGAAGTTCCCTATAAAATGTGCTCTATTACTATGAGAATATATCTTACTAATAGACTTGAAATCTAGATTGATTATACATTACTTAGAATTGAAAGACATCATCATTGGTACTAGAAGCATAAATACAACATATAATATATAATATAAACACTAGCTATATCAAACCATAGTGATAATATTGGTGAAAGCAATACAAGAAGGTGTCCAGATAGTCCAGTTAATTAAGAGTTGTCTAGATATTACAGTTGTCTCCCTTGTCCCTTTATTGTCAACTGATTGTTAAAGGACAATGTTTAGGATAGAATATTTCTGACTATCAGATTAACAGTATATCAATGATAACTGAATATTTTCATTAAATAAATATGCCAATATGGAATGAAATTTGAAAGATTTTTACCAAACTATTATAAATGTGTTTGACTTTACAGTAGGCCTACCTTAAACCACATAAGCCCTACCTCAAACCACATAAGCCAAAGGAATGTTTCAATCAATTTAAGTTAATTTCAACCCATGGAAATTTGGAACCTATGTTTTGAATATGGATTTCTTAAATAAAAATACTAATGTTACTAGTTTCAGATAATATTTACTGTAAATTTTCTTCTTATTATATTAACTTCACAGCTATTAGACCTAACTATTTCATGAAAAGCAATTTGTCCATAAGCCTTTTGAAAAGGATTCTGGTTAATTTAATATAGATATATTTCCGTTACAAGGAAAAAGCTGTTTATTCAGCAGAATATCGAGGCAGACAGACTTGACAAGTTGATCCAAAAATCAATAAATTATAATGGTAAAATCACATTATATATTATATATTTCATCTATAATATATACTACAATATTTATATCATATCTTATATCTACATTGATTTTCACAAACAAGATAGAATTGAGTTTTACTTTTCAATTTTTTATTGCTTATTGAGCTAAATAAGAAAAGTGTTTGATTATAATGTTTAATTTTGATAGTAGGGCCCATACACAATGTTTCATCTGGGATCCCCAACACGTAGGTTCCTTAATCTTACATGAGTAAAAATTGTTAATATTGTAATAAATGAAAAAGATTCAACCTTCTATTTGCAGAAAACAAAAAATATCTCATAGTTTGTTTTAATCTTGGTTTCAAAGTGTGATTTTGGAACAAATTTTCTGTTCTGATAGCCAAGTCAAAACATTTTAAAGACATCACTGCCAAAATACACATAACAATGGAGTGTGCTTCCAACGAAAGATGAACTCTTGTGTTTTATAATCAATCACTTAATATCTTGTGAAGAAACATCCTAGTAGAAAATGTAATATTTTAGATTGAAATCAAGCTCATAATTCAAATCTTAAAGACGTTTTATTGTTTGTACATTCAATTAAAAATTACTAAAGTTTCATTCAAAGTATCCAAAATGAAATTTTGCGTATAAAACTAGAAGTCAGAATGTGAAAGAAAACTATTTAATCTTATAAATTTAGCTTTCAATCTCATGAATAGAGCTCAAATGAAACTCTTTAGAAATGAAGTCCATTATAGTGGTGGGCTATTATTGCATCTAAATTACACAATAGTCGTCTAGCCTCCGCGCTGTAATTCTCGACACAAAAAGTCAGACATGCATTTCTCTCTGGCCATCAATCACTCGGGCTTTTATTGGCTTTTTGCCATTAGGTTCAGAAGTGTCAAAAGTATTTCCATGTTGTTTGAAATAACAGGATACAAGGCAGTGTGATTTTTCTAAACTAGCCATTTTGTTTGAGGTGATTAATTTCATCCTATTTGACTAACACAATTTAACACCTATTTTATATAATAGTAAGACCTGAATTTAACAAACACCAATATTTAAAGTTTATTCCTGAAAAATAGTAACCAAACAGTGTGGGGCAAGTTTCTTTGTATTCGTCTGATCAAAAAAACTTGCATAGAAAAAAAATGTCGCAAATTTTTTACTTTATTCCTTTGTTCAGAAAAATATTCGACAGAATCAAGACTGCCTATATTTGTCTTCACTTCATCATACTCTTTGGTTATGGATTTTCCCATTAAACCACGCCCTTCTAATTCTATTCAAATTTTATTGAGTCAAATAATATCTTAGTCAAATGAATATTGCAAAAATAATTCAGGCAAATCATGTCAAAATAATTTTAGGCTTAAAAAACATTATTTTGTTCACAAGCAGGCAGCTTGACTAAATCAAACATGAAATAAACACATTTAGCTCTGGTAAGCTCATAATTAAGCTTTGAGTCAGCTTCAGCTTCATTGTTCTGTGGAAGCACAGATTACGTACTTAAGTTATGTGTTCCTTAACACTTCAGTAAATTTAAAAAGCAAAAATGGCACAACACTTGAATGAATGCAAACTTTAATGCACTTTGATAAAATAAAAACCATGCATATAAAACTCTTAAAAATCTTAACATTTCGTTAACTGGCACATTAAAAGCGCTCATCAAAATATTGCAAACATCTTTTTAATATCTCTTACATTAACATGCTACTTGAAGAGGACAAAATATTTTATCTTTGCCAAAATTGTTTTTTTTCTTTTTTTATAATTCATTGAACATTATCAACAGTTGCAAGAAATTTGTTTAAGCCAAGTTAAAATAAATTGAAAAACAGGAAAGTACATTGTTTAAACGTTTGTCAAAAGAGATGTTTTCAAAATCATTGCTTTAATTGCTACAAAAATCAGTAAGTCATAAATTAAAGCTAAAATCGGGGATCAATCTGAATCTAAAAAGAATAATTTTTGATTCAAAATACAAGAAAAAATATAGACTGAATTTTATTCAACATGCATCAGGCCATATATTCATGAGAGAAATATCTAAACCTCACATAAACGAATTTCTTCCAGCTTTGATCATTTGATTCAGTCTGATCCCCGAAATCTAAATATTGAAAAGCTAAACAAGTAGCAGACACAGAAGATTTTTAAACAGACTTACAAATGGCATCATTCCGGGAGCAGGCACATATGGATGTAATGATGTTGCTGCAGCTTGTAACTGCAGGTTTTTTAATATCAAATTATTTCGTCCATTCTGTAGTAACTGTTCCCTCAAATGTTGGGGTGGATGAAGGTATTTGCATTTAGGATTTTCTCGCTGGCATTTTCCCTGTAAAGAGAAAATATAATTCATAAGAATAAATACAGAAAAGTTCTAGGTAAGATGAAAGGATTATGAATCAATACATTAAACATGTTTCACTTGCAAGTCATCTTTTCAGATAGGTAATATGAGATATAATGTGCTTATTATTAATTCGTATAACTTTTGGTTGTGTTTGGTATTTTGTTACATTGTGTTATTACATTCAATATGCAGTATTCAACATGTGTATGTGGTATTCAATATGTGTATATGGTATTCAATATGTGTATGTGGTATTCAATATGTGTATATGGTATTCAATATGTGTGTTGTTTTTTTTTCTTACTCAAATATGTATTAAGTATTGAATAAGTATTCAAATGTGTATTAAAATATCTTTTTAGTACATTTGTAACATAATTAGTTTGGATATTATCCAAAGATCAGATAATTATCTGATTCAATTTACATATTCATAAGGCCAAGAAATGTATTTTGGTCACAATTACTGCATAAACCAATATTACCATGTTAAAAAGAAGTCTTTTAAGAGGATTGGCAGACACCAATTGAAAAGATATATCTAACTCAATTTTAACTGTCTGTCGTCAAGTTATTAAGCTTCTTTAAGACTCAGATTATCGGAAGCTACTGTCTCTAACAATAATATCAATTAAAAAATCTTGTAACAAATGTCAAATGGTTATTCCAGGGAAAAAAAACAGTGTCTGGAATGGTGAAAGTGATATAGACTAGAAGTGTTAATATAAAATCATCAGACTTGTTAATATCTATTCTCTACTAGTAGCTATAAATCCCAGTAATTTAATCTATACCATTGTCCCTGGCCAGTCAACACAGCCACTAAGTCTTTTAAAACACAATATTCCTTGATGGTGCTATCTTTTTCTAACATGAGACAGGAACAATGTAGTCTTGGATAAAATCAATAGCCATTAAACTAGAAGTCTAGACATTTTCCTCTCATTTAAGTCGAGATATACTCTACAATTAATGGAACTAATGTAACAAATACTATCTATATATATATATATATATATCAATTGCTGATTTCTACGTTCCATGATAAACTAGATAGACTAAAGGTTTGGTGTGACAAAGTCACTGTAACACTTTCAACCGCACCAATATCTAGTTCTGAACAGGGCATCCATGAAGATGATCAATTTCCTTGGGCAGTTGGTCATCACAAAGAGTAGTTAGACCTTGCTGTTGAGTCGTCAAACTTTTATTTCTTAGCCCACAAGTAAACTTAGACTTAAAACTATTTTTTTTTAAATATAACACTGGTTTGAATCTGTGACTACCTGTATGAATAAGAGGGAAGAGAACAAAGGAAGAGGAACTTTAATTTAGGACACCCTTGATCTGGTGTGTACGGACCAACTAGTTTTGTTGTGGTTGAACTCTGTGAATTCTGTACCTCTATTTGTACTAATAAATGCAGAGTCACCTAGTTAAATGCAGAGAAGAGAGTTAATGACTTAAAGAGATGAAATCAGCTTGAAATAGTAGATTACTATAGTTGTTACTACAGTATTTAAAAACCAATATAAATTCTCACCATCAAGAATACATTAACACAAGTACATGTAAAAAATTATGATATCATTGTTTTTATCAATGAATTATTAATGGTTACTAAATCCCTTGTAAACTGATATCACGCTAGTACAATATCACATGACAATCTCACTGACACTTGTTATGTTTCTATTACATTTGATACATTATAATTACATAATACTTCTCTCGGAGTACTTCTACACATTGTCACACTTTTAATCTGACAAACTTCAACAGCTTATTCCTTGATGGTGGTGCTGAAGATATATCTCAACTATTACCAGAATAAAATTATTAAAACTAATTAGCTACGGTATATATGATTAGTCAAAGAGCTTCAATAAGGTTGAACATTGGAAGATGTCAGTTTGTACAGAGTTTGATCGTTGTCTGCTACAAAATTAGGTGCCATGGGCAGAAGGTAAGACAAATTTTGGTTCCAGGGTCTCCCCTCCTGTGCTGGCTTTCAACCCTCATCAGCTCATCTTAACGATTTTCCTTTGAGCTGAAGTGACAATCTATTGCTATGAACCTCATGTAGTCATTTGATGAACTCGTGCCTCAAGCCTCACTGTATTTGACAGATCTGTCTTAATGACATCAAATTCAGGAACCCAATTTGAAATTCTGTGAAACAATACTTTGAAGGGACAGATTTCTTTCATTGGAATGGACTGAACTGAGCCTTTCAGATCTCTATTCCATACTAATATAATTCCATTACTGAAAATATTTAAAAACAGTATCTGAAGTGCTGTACTGCTCTGTATTTAAGGCATTAAGCACTTCTTTAACAATAACAAGCCTTGTCATTATTGTGATTCTATCAATAAATGATTCATAATCGCTAGTTTATAGAGCTCAAACCACTTCTGATTTTAACATAGAATTTTTATAGAAACTGCAAATGTTAAAATATTTCTAATATAACTGTATAATTCAATCAGTGAAAAACTAACTCTATATCTCTCAATCTGGCCATTGCAAGATGTGTCAATCTTCATCACAGTGGAACAAGGCATGTATTTCGGTCGAAATTTAATTAAAATGCGAAAAAGCTTTTAGAGTTGAATTTCTAGTGAACATCTCTGACACTCAATAAAACTGCAATGTATTAAATTGGTAGAACATGATTTTTAAAGTACAAGGTTATTATGGCACATGTCGGAATGACCCCATTTCAAAACTTCTGATTCTCTGCAGAATTCCATTACTTAAATAATTTCAGTTTTACAAGTGAGGTTTTTAGATAACAAAATAAGGGCACATTCATCATAAGATTAAGACAACATCTCTAAGGAATATTTCAGTTGTTTTTGAGAAACCAATGCCAAATGAATAGTCTATTTTATAAATTTTGCATTAGGTATTCTTATATATTTTGAAAGGAAAATAATTTAGTTATCAAAAATTGAAGTTAAATATGTAGAAAACAACCTAGATACACACTGTGTTATTTGACCCATTTACATAATCAGCCCCTTAAAAAATACCTTATTTCAATCATCACTACCCATGCATTATTCATTTCTATTTATTCATTGTTCAGATACACATTAAAACGGGAGAATTTATGAGCATGAATTGACAGCATTATGGAAGCTGATCTCCTGCTTTATGACTAGCAAGTGATATCTTTTCCTTTGATGATATACCAGATCATAAATTGTTACAAGAACAATATTTAATAACCTTAACACAGGTTATAATGATATCTTCCACAGGTTATAATAACAATAATTACAGGTTATAATAACAACCATGTGACCTGGAAATGTGTTGAAAGGTGTCATTTTTAATCTCATAAAAAAAAATCAAAACATTAATGAAAATTACCCAGTAATGTTGTAATATGATATTTTGACTTGTTTCATTGCATGAAGAGGGAATCAGATTAATAAATAGAAACACTCGCTAAAAAAACAGTTTTCTTTAATATTATATCATGACTATTTTCAAAGTATAATGGTGCAATAGGATTATATACAAGTAGAAGCATAAAAAAGCATGTTCCTTAATTAGTAAAGTACTCAAATTTTAGACGGGTGTTCCACAGTGTTTGCAAAGACCGTTTCCTTTCTGGCAAATTTAAATTTTATTGACCATACCACATTACTTGATAATCTTACAGATCCAGTACAATGTAAGACGATGTGTTATATTAACATGTGAACACAGACTTTGCCAATTCTACACAAAAAGAACATCAGACCTGTCAAAATAAGCTGTGAGCATGTACTCCTCCCTATGGAATCCATGTCTGATATTAAAAATAAAACCATGACAGTTGGTGTTAGATATCAAATAACCTCCATACCAAATGTATTGTCATATTGCATGATGGGAAGGTTCCTGTGTTTTTTCAGTTGTAACTTGTCACTCTGTAGAATTCAATTAATTTAATGTGCCAAGTTTTACTATCACACCATGTCACCATTTATTCTGGCTGTGCTGAAGGCGTTGTATCATTTGACATCTTCATATGACATCTACGTTAACGCCATGGAAAATTTTGCCTAATGCACTAATGTTGCGTATCATTTGAAACCCTAGAGGTGTCTATAAAGCCTGTTATATTTCAACTGTGAATATCATTGATGTAATAAAATGAATTTGTCTTGAATCTAATAATAAATTCATGATATTAACACCTAATAAAATGACACATGAACAATTTTACTATCAGCATGAATAATTCACAATTGAGACTATATCAGGGTGGTTTTACATGTATTTTGTAAGATGCATTGGTACATGTTTGATAGTACAAGTTACATTCATTGGTATAATATACATGCATTGGTATTAGATACATGTATTGGTATAAGATACATACATTGGTATAAGATACATTCATTGGTATTAGTTACATACATAGGTATAATATACATACATTGGTATAATATACATACATTGGTACTAGATACATTAGATACATACATTGGTATTAGATACATGTATTGGTATAAGATACATTTATTGGTATTAGATACATACATTGGTATAATATACATACATTGGTATTAGATACATGTATTGGTACTAGATACATTCATTGGTATAAGATACATTCATTGGTATTAGATACATTCATTGGTATAAGATACATTCATTGGTATTAGATACATTCATTGGTATTAGTTACATACATTGGTATTAGATACATTCATTGGTATAAGATACATACATTGGTATTAGATACATGCGTTGGTATTAGATACATACATTGATATTAGATACATGCGTTGGTATAAGATACATCCTTAAGGTTTAGAATACATTCATTGAGACTGACAATTTATATTGATTAAAAAATGTTGAAATAGCAACATGAAATTGAAAGAATTCTATATATGGAGTAGACATATTGTTCTTTGTTTTTTAGTTGTGAAGAAAATTTGGTGAAAATATTTCCTGGGCAAGAGTTACTTTTCTTC